AATGTTCCAGAGAAGTGCTCGCACCACTGCAAAACCTAGCTGGATCCCGATAGAAAGCACGGTTGAATCCGACTCTAGCTTATAATCTATCATTTCTTTCGTTTGCTTGTTAGTTTTAAATGTTCTTTCGGTTTTTAGTTTCCGCTGCTTGTTGGTTGGATTGTGTATCGAATGATAATTGTTCAGAGTTTTTGTGGTGTTGACCCGTTGTGATGTAGCGGCAATTCCACGTGATGATACGATCAATTGTTTCCCGCCAAAATGCATGGAATGTCCAGGTGTATGCAAATAAAGGTTACATATACACCAGTGACGTTTTCCCAAACTAGCAATCGTCATAGACGGTATAACGTGTATAACGGGTGTGCTTTTACGTCTCTAAAGATGTAATCCAATAGGATTGTTCAAAAACAAAACTGAAAACAAACGACAAAAAGTGTCATTGTTCTTTATAAAGAATTATACAGCCAAATAGAGGACTCGTTCTGAGAGAGGTGGAGACCTACAATGTATAACAGTCTGCTTGACAAGTCAGCTTTTTAATGTATCCCAGCCCAAGAAACGGACTTTCTCGAGACTTATATGATGAAATTTAAAAAATGTGTTTTTATGTCTTTGCTTCTCAAAGCCTCCATTTTGAAAATCTTCCACCTTTCATTTTATATTATAGTTTCATTTCTTTGTTATTTTGATTCTAGCTGCCTGTTTGACACCCATGTCAGTTCAAAAGCGACTCATCACCGCATAGATAATAAAGTTATTTTATTAATATTTCATTTTAATACAGTTTGGTCTAGCCATTACATATCTCACATATATGACATATACAAATTACTTGCTAACACAAGAAATAATCAATAATACATTATATAACAAGCTAAAAATATATAATATTTGTTAACACAAGCGCCCGCACTTTAAATAACGTTTTTCAGTCACACATCTCATCTATCGAACGTCAAAGAGAACAAGAGATCGAATGAGGTTATATTTCCAACGCCTTGAAGATGTGCTGGTGATCGMCTTTCATCATCTTGAAATGTAGTGCGCTGCATCGTCGCTGAGAAATCATGGTTTACCTTCTGTCGATCGTTCTCGTGATTTCTTGGTGGCATACTCTCGCGCGCCCACTCTCCTGTTTAGGTTTGCATAGTGATAGGTGACGATCTTCTGATCACTAAAATTTCCAGGTTTTCAAAACTGCAGTACTAATGCTAAGAAACGCACCCCTAATGTACCTTTTTCCGAGGTAAAGTTCACTTTTTGTCCCACACGAATTTCTTATTCTTTTTGACGACAATTTCTGTTCTTTGTATGAAATGATATCAGGACCTCGTCTTAGTTGCCCTCATTTCAAAGTAAAATGTTTGTTTTTGACAATCACTCGTTTTGTTGATGAAAGTTGTATTCTCCCTCCAAGCTTCTTCTTTCCCTTCAATGATTTTCAGTGTATTTTTGTAGATAGTTTACCAAGACAATCAATTCTCATCGAGAGGCAATATCTGTCTATATAWGTGTGTCAGTATTGTGTGATGATTTGGACGATATTTTTCTTCGAGGGTAATTCACCACATTCTATGACGTATTGCTCGATGCATGTATTGCAGTTCCAATGCATAATCCATATCCTTCCTTATACTGCTGCATTTTGGTTAGAGCTCGGTGGAAGAGCTCCAGAAASTATCCTCCAAAACGCTTTACGAGCCTCTTCAAAAAGAGTCTTCTTTTCGCCGCTCTTCTCTTTCTGCTCTGGATGTTCAGCTTGCTCTTTCATCCTGTATAGAAGCCTAAGCTCACGTGCGTGTTTTTCACGGAGTTTTTTCGACGTTGCGTTACAGCTTACGTAAAATTCTTTAACAACTGCCAACATGACTTGCTTTGTCTCCGTGTAACTCAAAAATGTGTTGTCTTGTAGGTATATTAGAGGAAGTAAGGCGTTTTTATCACTAAAATCTGAAAAATATGAGAAATGAGGTATAAATCCGAGCTGATGAGGCATTTTCTCCCAGTCTTCTCTTTCGTCTTCTTCTGAGGGGAAGGGTTAGGCCCAAAGAATATGCCGTTGCGAATGTTCCTAATAAGACTTCCTCTGATCGTTCCGCAGTCTATAACTAGGCAATAAAACATTCTGAAGCGTTCCCCAATTGCTCGCTATTTGGTCATACGACAGATGGGCGGAAGGGACAGATTTTAGATGCAATTTGAATTTGAAACACTCGGTTTTGGGTAAATCATCCCGTGCTCTATTTTCCCATATATTCACAAACAACTTTTCTCAATGACAATACTTACCATGCTTTGAAGGATTTGGCTTTCGCTTTTTCCTTGTAAGCAATTCATAAACCAGGAACACTACAGCAAACACACCAAATAGAATACAAGTCCATGTTATCGCTTGTCGAAAGACGTAAGATTCTGCGTCGAACAAATCAGCTGTCATGTCGGATGAAGTAACTGGGGAGGCCTAAAAATAGAGAAAGCAAGAAAATTATCGTGTAATAGCTCTAAGAGTACATTATCGGATGTCTCATCATATCGATACATGTCGTGTCCTTTGGACATGTTGGATTATCCTAGTCATATCGTGTAACATAATTTCGCATCTTGTTGAACCATGTCGTATCGTGTCGAATGTCGCACCCTATTGACGCATCGTGTGGACATATGTCGCATTTTGTCGAATGTCGAAGTGTCGTATCCTATTGACACATCGTGTCGTCGTATCGTGTCGGATATTAAAATGTCGCATCCTATTGACTCACGCTGTAACTTATCAAATCATGTCGTATTGCACCAAATCATGTCATATCATTATGTCGGGTTACATCAATTCATGTCGTATCGACAATAATCAAGTCACGTCGCATCACATCAACTCACATCGTATCGTGTCAACACAAATCTTAGTGTACATATGATCGCGTGGTTTTATGTCAAATTAACTCATGTCATGTGCATATATCTTTTGTGTATCGTTTTTAAAAAACAACAATCGGGATGTTCATTTATCATGTCCTGTCTCGTATCGCTGTATTGATCGTATTTCAACCATTCCCAGGGAGATTTCAAAATAAAAAGACCGGCGGCCATGTTTGAGGAATGAACAATAGATACTAATACTACTTTTGTTGAAGTTCCTCTAAGATGGCGCCRCTGTGTGACGTAACTTGAAAACGAAGAATACCGCCGAGTGATTCTTACCTCGACCTGTTCAACGTGTTTTGTAATTACACCAAATAYTCGTACTCTTTCTTCTTTTAAAAAGGACCGATAGCAGGACTGCAGTCGTTTAGYATKTCCTCCAAGAACTACTCCATATACAGAAGAATGACTGATGATCTTCGTTATGCGTAATTCCTCGTCACCAAATAAGTCCTTTCTACTTCCCGCGGTATAAGCGTCGACAAGAATCCCGTCAACTTTTCGTTTCTTAAGGGCTTTGTATATATCTCTCAGGTCGTCATACTTGGCTTCTAGATTTAATATTGACAAAGGTTTACCAAAAATTTGAGTGTATATCATATTAGTCCGGGCTAATTGTTGACTTCAATTGTGTGCAAGTATATAAAAAAAAACTCGTGAGATTTCAAACTATTTTCATTAAATTCTATATATCTCTTGCAAATGCACGGTCTGTTACTGAATAATAGAATATACTTCATGGTTTTGAGGCTAACACATTGTAAAAGAGATCGCTAAAACGGTGTATTGGAGAATTTTTTTCTTAATTGATTTCAAGAGTATGGACGTAGCTTCCGTGATAAAGAATGGGACTAGCCAGGATGTAGCTTCTACTATATATGGGTATAATATATGGAGGGTAAAAAGCCATGAGAGTACCTTGATCCATAATGCCATTCAATCTTATTCCTAGACGGAACTCAGAAGAGTTGCGCAAYGCTGCGACCTAAAAGAAAACACCAATGATTTTACTTACAAACATTGAGAACATCACTACAGGTTTACAGATGACGTCATGGAGGCCATGATGTTCATACTGTCACTCAGGTGTATTACCCATTCGTCCCAGGACCCGGTCGCGATGGCAAGAAACGCCTGATTTGTYTTTTGATTTCGCGTCAGTAGTCAAAGACAATGAATCAAGACCAAGCGCCGTGCATAAAGCTTTATCAATCGTGACAGAGAAACTATTGTCCTTTCGCCAATGGCTGAGCTTTATGCACCGCGCCTCGTCTTGATTCCTTTGTGTGTGAGTAATGTAAAAAATTCGCATGTCGGATATTCTCATCACACTTACCTTTGATCCATAAACCATTTTTTCAGAGCCCATGACGTTTGTAGTGAGCGATGCGGTGATGAGTGACATAAATAACGCTACAATGACTAAACCACAGGTAATCCAAACAATTCCAAATGACTTGGAATGAAATGCTTTAGGAATTCGATCACCGTACCTATAAGGAGAAAAAGATACAATCTGTAAGTTTGTGAGCCTTCCTGCCAGAGAGACGGTATGAGACTGAGTATATCGGGCCTTTTAAGCTAGTATAACAAAGGTCCTTGTTGTCGGTTGGCGTTTTGACGGTAGATTCAGTGTAGATGTTTTTCGGTAGTTGCTTTCGTTTGGCGGTTCATGATAAATCATCGATAGTTTTCTTCGTGGTTTATGTTATCCAACAAACAAAAGATGAAATGGGAATGGAGCAATGCATTGTTACGTCATAGCCGCCATGTTGGATGAAGGGAACAAGCTGCTCATTTACTAGTATTCAACATGGCGGCGGTTTTTTTCAGAAAGTATTTAGAAAATTGGTCAGGTATTCACACTTATCTTCCGTTTTCGTACCACTTTATGTAATATTTGAAACTACAAAACGCAAAAAAGAACGTATCAAAGTTTTGAGGTCTCAGTCATTCAGCCACAACGAAATAGCCACGTGAGTTGATCAGTCAGTCAGCGTGTAAGTCAGTAAGCAAGGAATAGTCAGTCAGTCAGTCAGCATGATCTTTTAGGAAGTATAAAAAACGTACCCTAGCGTTGTCATGGTGATGAAAGCCCACCACATTCCTTCTAAAATTCCTCTGAATGGCGAACGTGGGAATTCATTTGAGTTAAACAAAGTATCCTGTCCAAAGCAATAATCATGAATTAATGAAGTTTTCCAAAAAAAAAAAGTTTTTTTCATCCATTTTCTATTTGTCTCGTGACAATCGAGATACTTTTAACTATTCATTAACACTTCATGATTTCCTTTATAGAACATTCATTAAGAAATGATT